AGCCCAAGCCCACAATGTTCATTTAACTGAATTTTTTAGATTAATAATGGGTGGAGTCATGGGATATCTTATTATAATATAAAATTAATTTCTTAATATTAAAAATGTAATTGAAAATGCAACAATATTAATATGATTAATGAAAGATTTTTTTTCTTCATATTTTTAATTTTTATTTAGACAAACAAATTGATACTTGAAACTTGTTCAATTCAATTAGATGTTCAAACTTAACTTCATAGTTTAAATTGCTATTTGAACCTGACTTCTTGCTTCAACTTAGTACTTATAATCTTTGTATAATTAGGTACTTAAATTTGATTTTATTTCTTTAAATTTACCCTTGATTTTTTTAGTGTTATTGACTATTTGAAAACTATCAGTTTTAATCCGTTTTAGTACCTAAATTTTCAATTTTGTCAAAACTTTTTTTCATTATAGTATACTGCCGTTAAAAACTTTATTTTTGTTTTATTTTAGTACCTCGTGCAAAATTTAACGGTAAGTTTCAAAAAAAATTAAAATTTTAGGTACTAATTCGGACCAAAATTGATAGTTTAGGTACACTAAACGTGTTAAGTTTTTAACAGCGGAGAACTAAAATAAAATGAAAACTAAACGTTAGATATGTTTTTGAAAAAAGTGAAAATTTAGGTACTAAAACGGATCAAAACTGATAATTGAGATACTAAATGCATAATTTACTCTAAATCTATTTAAAAAAGTGATAAAATTTAGAGATAATGCCCAAAAATATACACAAATAAGAATTAAATTGTCTTAAGCCGGCAACGATGACATCATATATGTGTAAGCCTTAGCTTCAATCATTCAATAAAAGTATGTTTACACACTCATGTATAAATACTTGAAGAAGTCTATATCAAATCATGTATGGGGTATACTTTTTTTTATTATCGAATCATTCAATAAAAGTAAGTTTACATCATATGTCTCGTATCACATTTCACACCTCAAAGAGGGAGACAAACTACTAAAATATGGAGGTAAAATGTATTTATACCACGTCGAAAAGGAAAAATGAGGACTTTATGTCTAGAAACGGTGACGTTACACATCTTATCGATGCATCTTATTGGTACATCTTTTAGAGAGAAAATAATGATCTTATGAGAAATGATATCTTTCCTGATCGCATATGATTTAAAATCGACAGTACCGAGGTTCTGTCCTCCCCTAGTTTCACAATAGGTAGAGAATAATTGCGAGGAAGGGAAGGTAATTATGAAACTTAAAGTTTGGGAAGCATTTTTGATAAATGCATGGCAAAGTAGTTGAAACCCTAAATTGTACACATGCAGATGATGGAGCCTGCCTTTCTGGTTCCCCTCATTTACTGCAAAACATTTAGGGTTTGGATCAATTAATGTAATGAATTAATGCATCGACCAGCAACAAACACAATTTGCTGCACTTCTTTGTAATAACTTGTTCAACCGATTCACCTACACATATAAGTGGACCACCTCATGCATGCTCTTAGATACAGCGTAGAGGTGAATAAAATTCGATTCGATCTAAAAAAATAATTTTCTTTTTTGAGTTTCGAATTATTCGAATCAGAGTTGTTCTAATGTCCCACCAAAGCACTCATCTTTGCTCTCAAATAGAGTGTCCAACCATTATAACTAATAGTTATCCGTCTAAATCGAAAGGAAAAAAAATATGATTCGAGTATGCATATAACAATTTTAGAATAAAAAGTATTTGGACAACAAAAAATATATAAATACAATACGAATATACAAATTATTCACATTAAAATAAAATTAGGGTAAGTTACGCGTTTAGTACATAAACCATAAGTTTTGTTTCGCTTTAATATCTACATTTTTAATTTTTCAAAACCATAGCTAACGTTTAGTTTTTATTTCATTTTAGTACATCACCGTTAAAAACTTAACGACACAACATTTTTTATGGGTGGATTACATCATTCATTACTCAACTATCTTCTCACTCTTATTTTGGTACTAAAGTTAAAAAAAATTCAATTTAACTACTCAACTTTCAAATTTCTCCTATTTTAATCACTCTAATTTATTTTATTAATAATTTGTGACATTAAATTTTTATTATTATTTTAAATATATAATTAAAAAATTAAATTTGAAAGTTAGAGTGATTGAATTAGGAGTAATTTGAAAGTTAAGTAATTAAATTAAAAAAAATGTAAACTTTAGTGACCAAATAGGAATGAGAAGATAGTTGAGTGATGAATGATGCAATTAACCGTAAAAAAGGTGCAACGTGCAAATCATCCGTTAAGTTTTTAACAGAGAGTTACTAAAATAAAATAAAAACTAAATGTTAAGTATGGTTTTGAATTTTTTTTGAAAGTTTAGGTACTAAAACGGGTCAAAACTAATAGTTTTAGTACTAAATGCTCAGTTTACCCATTTGATTTTAACTCTGAAGTTTAAAAAGGGTACACAAATCATTTTTTTTAAATGTAGACCAATGAAACTAGGTGAACTGCGATGGATGTATTTATGGTTTAGGGTATAGTACCTTTGGATTTCCAAATTGGCTATAACTAATCACTGTTTCAGGATATCTAATGTCGTGTACAATGTTATAGGTGCCCTTATTTTTACCCATTGGCACCATCATATTAACTAGCTAGACCTATTTCATGTCCTACAATTTCTTTTATTTTCTCCATATGTACTTTTAGCTATACGTTTAGAGGGTTTGCGAGTTCCATTTTCGATATGTTCTTTAATTTTCAACTTCCGTTTAAGAAGAGCCAATAATCTATAGAATTGGATACTAATATGATACTAAAATCTTTAAATTGATTAAGAATCAATCAAATCAATAAAAATATATATAAAAAATTAAGGCTTAATACACTTTTAGGTGTCTAAACTATACCTCAAATTATATTTTGGTGCCTAAAGAATTTTTACTAAAAATACATGCATAATGTTTTCTCTATTATACTTTTAAGTGTCTACCGTTATATTTTTAAATTTTTTTAATAAAAAATATTATTTTTTATAGAAAAAAGAAAAAATTCAAAAAAATCAACCCATGCGTAGTCCCTCGCCCTTCAATCCCCTCATCTCTGATGGTGAAGGGTAATCGTCGGTCAGGTTTTGTTCGGAGTATGATGAGAAACTCAAAGGTTGTAGTCGTCAAAATCGCCGTAAAAGTTAAAACAACAACGAAAAACCTAGGAATTCGTCGATCCTACGCGGCGTTTTTCATGACGATCGGCACAGTTTCACGGTGGGTGGGGGACTGAGTTTTGGTCGCTGCGGCAAGATAGATTTGATGGTGTCAACAGTGACGTACATGGACTGACGGTGGCCGATTAACGGCGGAAGATGTAAATTTGAGGGTTTTTATTTTATTTTTTTAATTACAATATTAAGTTTTTTTAAAATAAAATAATTTTTAAAAATTTATATATGTGAAACATGTCAGATAACAATCAAATTTAATGGTTGTTACGGTCCAGATAGCTAAAACTGTAGCATTGGAAACGTTAAGTGCCTAAACTATACCTCAAATTATGTTTTGGTGCCTAATGATTTTTTTACTAAAAATATATGCCTAACGTTTCCCTATTATACTTGTAGGTGTCTACCATTATTTTTTAAAATTTTTTAATAATAAAAATATTATTTTTAAGAAAAAATTAAAAAAAATCAACCCTGCGTCGTTCCTCTCCCTCCAATCCCCATCTCCGACAGTGAAGAGTAGTCGTCGGTCAGGTTTTGTTCGGAGCATGATGAGGAACTCAGCGGTTGCAGCCATCGAAATTGTCGTAAAAGTTAAAAAGACAACTAAAAGCTTAGGAATTCGACGACCTTTCACGATGGGTGGGAGATTGAGTTTTGATCACTGTGATAAGATGGATTTGATGGTGTCAACATTGACGGAAACGAACCGACGGATTTGATTAATATTTAATGTCAATGAATTGAATGATACTATATCAATATATATAATTATGAACTGTTCATGCATTAAATATAGAAATTTATATACACATTCAATCATATAAGTTACACAACGGATAACTTCAGACAAATCTTTGCACAATAAAGATGAAACATACAAATTTATATGAAATATTTTCAGTAAAAAAATCTCAGACATACAAAAAATATAAAAGAAATTCACGAGAATACATTAAGCCTTATAAAAAATATTACGGTCCATAATGACCGTAAGATAATATTTGTTCGGTTTGTGTTGTCTAACTTGTTTTCTAAACAAATACATTTTACAATAATTCTAATAAAAATTAATACAAGAAGTATAGTTATGTATTAATTGGATGATGTACAACAAAGTTTTTATCACGAAACTCTATCCCTGACCCTATAAATATCTATTTTTCTTCTCGATTTATTTATTTATCAAACGATTTTTTCAATCATATTAAAATATAGGGTAAATTACATATTTAGTATGATCACTTTTAATCCGTTTTAGTGTCTAAACTTTCAATTTTTTCAAAAACATACCTAACGCTTAGTTTTTATTTCATTTTAGTACCCGTCTTTAAAAACTTAACGTGTTTATTACCTAAACTATCAGTTTTGGTCTGTTTTGATACCAAGCATTCAATTTTTTGAGAACTTAACGTTAAATTTTGGATGAGGTACTAAAATAAAACAAAATTTAAAGTTTTTAAAGGCGGGGTACTAAAATGAAACAAAAACTAAACTTTATGTATGATTTTGAAAAAATTGAAAGTTTAGGTACTAAACGCATGATTTACCCTAAAATATATTTTAGGTCATAAAAACTAATATTCAACAATTAATTTTAAATTCTTATATTTCATGAAAATTTAAGTTGAGCTGTTGAAGAAAAGAGGGGAGTTGGAGGAATTTATGGAGAACTTTCAACAATTTAAAGAGGGGGGTTGGATTTTGAGGGTGTCATGTTGAAGGTGTTAAATTACAAGTGAAGCAAGATTTTGGGTGCATTAAAGGGGTATCTACTTGCCACTTTTAATGCTTCCCCTGTCCTCCTTTTAATGGCGTTTGATCAACCCAATTTATGAACCCTTTCTTTGAGTATTCATTCTGCCCCTTCTCCCCTCGCCTCTTACCTGTTTGACGATTTTCCCCAAAGAGTTTTAGAAGCTTGTCATTGTGTTATGGAACTCACAGAGTTGTCTTTGGCCTCAAACCAATGTGTTCCGGCTGATAAAACATGCAGTTTCAGTCCATCATCTGATCAGGATGGGTTCGATTTTCCTTCGAAGAAGAGGAAGCTTTTCCCGAATCAGTTCCTCGATGTCGGTTCGCCGTTTCAAACCAGCGTTGATCTTCAAGTTAAAGACCCTCTGCCATTGGACTGGGAACAATGCCTTGATCTTGAAGTATGCTCCTTTTTTTTCATGAAAATTTTCATTTTTGGTTCATATTCCTCCATGTACACACATGCACGTGTATGTATGCTATGCTATTCGATTTCGGGTTTTTTAAGAAAAATGAAGAGTCGAAGTAACGTTGTGTAATGTGTATAATGTTTTGATGTTCCATTGCAGTCGGGTAGAATGTACTACATGAACAGGAAAACCTTGAAAAAGACATGGAGTTGGCCTAAAGATCAGAAACTCGACCTCGAGCTCAACATTTCGCCGACAAACTCGGATGTCTCGGAACTTTTCGATGGTGGTTCGGTGTCGGTCGAGGACTCCGGCTACAAGCACCAACAGCATTCTTCGAGCACCACTAACATGGTGGCTTTGCCTTGCTTGAATTGCCATCTTCTTGTCATTCTCTCCAAATCTTCCCCTGCTTGCCCCAACTGCAAGTACGTCCACTCTCTTCCTACATTCCAAGCCACCAAGTCTATCAGCACCTTGAGCCTCTTAAACTAAGACAACCGTGTCAGACCCGGGTTTAGCTCGTGTCAAACCCGGGTTTAGCTCGTGTCAAACCCGGGTTTAACTCGTGTCAAACCCGGGTTTAGGTCGTGTCAAACCGGGTTTAGCAAGTCTAACATCGAAATCTCAAAATCTGTAACCCTTTTCCTTGTCCCGCGTTATGACTTGTAGGCATAGAATTATATAAAAAAGGGAACTTTTGAAGAACATGTAATGTTTAGTTCAATATTAGGCTTCAAGGCTGTACTCAGTAACAGTAAATATAATCTTTCCCTTTTCGTGTAATTCACTTTGTTATGATGTATTCATAAGAGAAAGGAATATGAATTGTTCGGATATCAAACTCGAGATCAGGGGTGAGCATCCGATTGATTCGGTTTTTATATCAATGATTGATTAATTTATTAAAATCAAACGAATTTTATTATCAAAACTCTTCTTAATCACCGAAATAACTATTTACTAGTTTCTATTCGAAAATGATTTTAAATGAAGATATTATACAAATCGTTTATTATTCTATCCGAGACCGAGTCGAGATACATATTTGTATTTATTATTATTTGGTAGGGGGAGGCATTAAATTTGCAGAATGAAGGTCTGCCCAAATATTAAGGCCCTAAATTTTCAATTTTTTTAAAATTATATCTAACGTTTAGTTTTTATTTCATTTTAGTACCTCACCGTTAAAAACTTGACGCATTTAGTACCTAAACTATCAGTTTTGATATGTACCTAAACTTTCAATTTTTCAAAACTTAAATTTTGAGCAGGATGCTAAAATGAAAAAAAAAACTAAAATTTTTAACGGCTGGTACTAAAATAAAACAAAAATAAAACTTTAAATATAGTTTAAAAAATTAAAAATTTAAGTACTAAAATAAATTAAAATTAATAATTTAAGTATTAAATACACAATTTAACTATAACCGGTCTGAGTAAACAAAGGGGGGCAAAACGTAGGAAAACACGAGTCCATGTTTTGAACGGTCGAGAATCCATTAGATTCGGACGTCACACAAAAAGTTTTTTTTTTTTGAAACAGATGAAAAACGCCATTAACATAATAAAAGAAAAAAAACCATAAACTAATTTTTACAGAAACCCCATGTCTCCTCCTCCAGTGGAAGTCCTCAGCGCGTGAAATCAGCCAAAGCCCAGAATTCCACGTCCCGCTTTGGATTTCCCATGAACGAACCGATTATCTAAATAATGTCCCAAAAGCAATTCAGTTTTGCATTCATATTCACGGGCCTCAATCCAATTTGATTTAAAGGGAAAGAAAAACCCCAAAATCACGAACAGACAACACAAATGCCCGGCAATGTGGATCGAAGGCGTGAGATTTTCGTCGAAAATTCTCGTCTTGTTGAATTTGATGGTGTTGGTTTTGGGTTGCGTCGGGGTGGCCGTTTCGTTTCCGGGATTTAATCCTCAGAAAGTTCTGCCCATTGTTCTTGTTTCGTTTCTTTCCGTTATTAGAATCGGGACGATGATTCGACTGGGAGTCGCACAAGAAGCTACTGCCAGAATCATAACCCAAACTCCTCCTGACGCTCAAGTTTTGGACCCCGTTCTTCGTCATAATAGAAGGGTATTCACTATTCCCCTCCTCCTATGCTCTTTTTAGGTAAAATACATAAATAGACATCGGATTATAGTATGTTATTTTATTAAATTTTTTATTATCGAAAGTTATAAAATAATGCGTTGAATATAAGAAATTATTTTATTGAGTTTTTCTATCAATAAAAGTTTTAAAATAATATTCAATTGTTAATAAGTTTTAAATCGTCTTTTTTTATTGGGATATGATAATTATATTCACCATCACGGTTATTTTTCTTGGTTTGATTCGACGACATAATATAAAATGAGAGTTGATATATAAAATACTGCGTAAACGGTCTTAAGATCAAATTTCATATTTTTTAACTTTTTAACGAAAGTGTGAAACATATAAATAATTAGATGATCATTTTGTAACTTCTAATAGTAGATAGATTCAACAGAGGAGTGTCGAGTGACTATTTCTGTATTTGATCCATCTTTTTATTAATTAATTTACTTTTTTTTCTGATTTTTTTTCTGAAGTCTACGTTGAAATCAAAAATGTTTTTTTTTTATTTAATAGGTGAAATACAAAACATGGCTTTGGTGGAGCCGGTTCTCCATGGTGCTTACCATTTTGCAAATTTCGGGTGCTTTCTATCTTCTGATTAGCGTGGCTCAATATCTTTCTAAAGATGCATATCTTTCAACTGAGTGTTTTATAGGTAAATTGGGTTGGATTTTCATTCTTTTTGTTTTACCTTGTTTTTTCTTCTTATTTATTATGTTACTGGATGGATTTTTGAGTTTACTAAGTTAATCCCACTGCATATTCATATCCATTAATTTTCCATCTATTCCATCATGTTTAAGTTGACATGTGATTTGAAGTCAATAGCTGAAGCCGTAGAGAAAGAAATCCTTGTTGTTCTAGATTAAATGTTCATGATAAGCATGCAAGTCATTGCTTAAATGGCACATTTTGTACACTTGTATTAGCTGAAGTCAATTGCTTAAATGTTCCTGATAAACATGCACACTTGAAGGCATGACGACTTTCCGAAAGTTCACATTCTTCTTTTGCAGATACAACACCTTATCTTTCAAGTTTGAAGTTGCCAAAAAATCGAAATTTCAAAGTAGAAAAGAGGAAATCTCAACAGACAAAACTGATTTCATAAAACCTCCAGTACTATAGACAGTTCTGTGACTCCTCCATATTCTCATTCAGAGTTGCAGAATACTGTCAAGCTGCTGAACTTTAAGATTGTTAGCATAGTCAGGGTCATAAGTGTAGTGATATTTTTCATAATCTTTGAAAGGTGCAATTTTAATAAATATTCATATTTGAATGCAAAATTCTTCTTTTCATAGTTTTTGTAGAAACTTGAACTTGTCTTTGGCTATGTTTTTAATGCAGGAGGATTCCATATCAGTCGTGCATGGAAGCATAAAGTAATGCTTTTATTTCTGGTCATGGCCTGCTGTATTGCATTAGCACATTGTTTTGCCGGATCTGATGTCTTAAGGTGGAGGTTTATTATGCATCCCAAGATGATGCATGGAAAACTCACTATCAAGAGATATTCGATCATGGTATTCGTGAGGTTTTGTGCTGTATGGGACGTATCAATTATTTGTAGGTACCTCTACAATTTTAAATGAAATGGAGATATTAGTGTTCAACATTGGATTTTTTTTCTTATAATTCTTTCATTTCTTTGTCTAGAACTGTCATGGAAGACGATGAAGTATATTCAGTAGCAAAATTACTGGGCGAGCTTGTTGCTTATCGTGCATCAGGGACTGGACATTTAGAACTTTTGACAGGTTTATTTTCATTTTATATCAAATCCAAAAGCCTTTTTGTTCGTATTTTCTGTTCTCTTAGATCCGGTAATCGGATGGTTCCCACATCAAATTCAACCAAAATTTCAAATTCTTACCTGGATATGACAGGACACCAAATGAGAGTTAACTTACATTCCTTTTAGTAGCATTATTGTTTTGTCATTTTGGGGCTCCTATATATTTTTCAACCATGTTTATTTGAAAGACACAAAACTTGGACATCTCTTTATCTAATGAAAGACGCAAAACGGGACAATGACTTAACCTGGTTAAATATACATGTATGGTTAACTACATGCCAACCATTGCTATTTTTCATACTTTATTTCTGTAGGAGAGAAAAAGAAAAGGAGGGGGTGCTTTAGATCTGTCCTAATGTAGTCAGTAGGTACTTCCCTTAATTTTCTTCATCGACTGCACTTATTTGCATGACACGTGAGAAGCATAATCTTTTCAGGTCTAGCATTGATGCAGAAGCTTGGTCAATCCTATAAAACCAATGAATGCTCTGTTGGGGCACCTCTAGAACACCTGCAAGCAGCTGTAACTTTTCATAAATTTGCTGAAGCTGCGTACACGGTATTATGATAGAACATACTGTTTGAGTATACTTTTTGTGATTAACATTTTAAACTTAAATAAAAATTACAAATGCAGGGACCTTTGCTTGATATGGGAAGAAATCCTTGTGTATTTCCATGTGTGTGGCTCTATAGGCAAGGGGTTTTATCCCCGTGGTCTCGTAAAAGGTTGTCAATATAGAGGCAAATTTCACTTGAGGTGCATGATTGTTTATATATCATGAACATCGACTTATGCAATATTATGTTTCACGTGTTTGAGTAGATATATTTGCATGCAGTACTTATTCATATTCAAGGATTTCACTTGTACCGTGTTAAAATATTAGTTATTTACATGTTAATAATATCTTCTAGAGATCTGTTCTATTCCACTTTCTTTATTCAAGTTCTTCTTCCATTGTTAGGCGTCCCGTCCTGATGGTGATAACTGGTGGCGAGGTCATGCTGCAGCCTTTTTAAAATTTGTCAATCTACCCCCTGAAGTACTTCGGCGTGGTCGCGTTCGTCAAGTGAGTTTAGCTTTATTCTTTTGATTTGATCTATATTGTCAAAGCAAAAACCAGTTCTAATATGTTAAGATAGATGCTAGAAGATATTTTATCTTATGTTTGATGCATGACAGAAATTTTTTTCTTTTCATATGCAAGAACCATGTAGGAATATATAACCAACCCTACTCATCTGTGTTGTTTAACCTTGTCCATATAAGATTGCATGTAATCCAAATCTATGATTCAATGTCCAAATATGGCATAAACATTAAACTTGCAGTAATGGTGATTTTCAATCATTGTCAGGAACGAAGTTATGCATTTTTCACTTCTAACTCTTTTCTATTTTCTGGACTAGAAAGCATGTGAAGCTGCATATTTCGTTGTGGTTTTAAATGATCTAAGATCTGTAGTGATTGCTGTACGAGGAACTGAAACCCCTGAAGACCTCATAATTGATGGTTTAGGCAGGGAGCATTCCCTGACTGTGATGGATTTGGATGGACTGATAAAGTTAGTATTTCTCTCTCTATACCCTTCTTCTTTTCCATGTTCATGTACACTTGTACGTGAACATGTGGGCACATCTGCATGAGAGTATATGTGCATGCCATTTACATGACATGGATTTCCATGTATGCATAAACATATGGTTGCTGGCTTGCTGCAGCTATGTTTCTCTGACTTCCATTTTTTCTCAAAGTACTGGTGTCTGACATATAGGTATGGGGATACGTCCTCCAGGGTCCCTCCAAATGCATAAAAATTGATCTCACCTATGTAGGGCAATTGCCCTTGTACTAA